TGGGGAAAAAAATTTGTATTTGCTTTTTTTTGTAATTTAATTTATTACAATAAATAATTTATTAAAAAATGCTTGCTTATTTGTAAAAGGAAGTTTTTTTGTTTTTTTTGCATAAATGCAAAACCGATCTAAATCGAGTAAAGAAATGCATTTTCAGAACTGTCACTACTTGCTAAGTAACTCAAAAATGAAAATAATAAGAAGAAAGGAGATGCAAGTAATCTTCAAACTCAAACTTCAATGCAAATTCTCAGTCGATGGGGTTGGTTAAAGAAACTGTAAGGGACGAAGGTATTAAAAAAGTTCAAAAACGGGTTTTGAATGACCATAAAACTAAGATAAACCAGAAAGGTAATCTCAAGTCAACGTATGGACACATCGGTATCGGAAAGCACTGTGTAAAGTGGGTGCGAGTTTACAATCGACAGATGCACTGTGTCACAAGTAGAAGAAAACGATGGCGAAATTGCGTGAATTGGGCTTCGGATTGCTTTCGTATCGGAGGATCTGGTCTATTGACATGTTTTCCTCAGAATTAAAAAAATGTGTACTGGAAAGAAATCACTGAAATTGAGGTATATTAAAAAACATTAAAAAAATTAAATCACTGGCAAGGTTTTAAACCCTTTGAAATATTTTAACTGTTGCTTATGCTCTGGTAATTTTAGAATCTAATCCAAAAAATTTAACTTTAGTTTGTATAAACCCAGTAATATTTAAAATTGCTTTTTTATTAAGATAGGAATTTTCCAACTTCTTGTAAAGAGGATTTAGTAGTTGTAAAATTTCACCAGATTTTAATAACGGAACTTGAAAAAATAGTAAAGAAATCGGATTACGACTATTATTTTTGAACCTAGTTTAATATTGGCACTTTAATAAAATTATTTCATTTAATCAAAAATTTTTATCTCATTCTGAACTTGTTGAGCATAAAGAGGATAAGTCAGTCAAAGCTTTTTGAGTGAATTACAGTCGCCGTGCTCAGGCAGCGGAATTGCATTAGAAATTACTTAGAAACTAAAAAATAATGAATACTTTTAAAGGCGAGATCATTAAATAAGCAAGACTACTTCATCAACTATTTTGTACAATGTTGAACCGAGCCTTTTTATATTGTAAGTGAATTTTAAGTGAAATACAAGTAATATAGAAATTATCATGAAATCACTCGACTAATTTGAAGTACAACCACTTCGAAATAAAGTAAGTGATCTTCTCTGATTACTTTAGAACTCTCCCATACTTAATCAGCCACATAAAATTTATATTGTGATTGCCGTGACCAAGTAGCTGAATTGCATGAATACTGTAAGATTTGAAAGGATCTAGTGACAGTTCTTAATGTTTTTTAGTGTTAAGATCCAATATCCTTTGTAAGAATTAACAATTTCATAATTAAAATACTTAATTTCTTATTTCAATTTTAAATTGTAATAAGGTTTTAAGTTTATAGAATCTAATTTCTTTTAATCTTTCTTCTGTAATTTAGTTTTTCAGAAAGTAGTCTATAAAGTAATGCTTTTAAGTAAAACGTCATTTTTCCGTAATGAAAATGGAATTAAAATTCACGCTTAAGCTTAACATCAAAAGTAACAATGAAAGTATTTAACTTTTTGTAATATATATTTAAATATTTTTCTATATTCATATATACAGTCTTAATAGTTTTGCTTTGCTTTGCGTTTTTGGTGCAGTGTAGCGATTTTTGCATTTTGTTCTGCTTTATATCATCAAGCAATTTGCTTATTTTTCGCTTTGAATTTTTTCTTTTAGCGCGATTTGCCGGGCAGTTAAACGCAGTTATTAGCAAAAGTCTTTATTTAATAATTTATTTCACTAGTTTTTAGTTTTCGAAATTTCTCAAACTTTTTGTCATATTTTCTTTTTGTTTTAATTTTGTGAAAATTGTCCTGAGTTCTCTGCAACGGCTTCAATTGAACTTAATCTCATTTTCTCTTTGTTTTACATTAATAATTTCCCTTTCTCTGTCACTTCAATATACATACAAATAATTAAGTAAAAGTAATAAATACTGGTGAACTTTTAATTTAGTAAACTTCGCGAATAAATTTCCTTTGTACAATAATAAATTGGAATAAATGTATTTGTATACTTTAACTAAGTAAATACTTACAACAAATGCTCGATAAGTTCAGTAATTACATTATAATAGTAAAGATTTGCTAAGCATTCTTCTACAATTATGCCTCTTATATTTATACATATTTATACATATGTAAGTCGGTAATAAACGAAAATGGCATGGCACATCGAATTGGTGTTTTACTCTTTTCTTCGGGTTTCCTTGCTCTTCTTTCTCAGCTTTCTACGTATTCCTTTTAATTTATTTTAATCTAATTTTTTATTTTTGTTTAATTCAATTGAACTAATAATGAATAATTTTGCTTAAAAGTTAGTTATTTTATCATATTTTAATATAGATTCTCTCAAATATAAATACTCAAATGTAAAAGTATGTCAAAGCTTTCAAAAATCATGCGCATACGACAAAGGGTTGCATTTTTATATTAGTTCTGTTGCAGTTGATATTCAATAATTCTTGAACTGAAAAACCGTACGCAATTTCATAAATTTCTTGAAACGTGTTGGAAGTAAAAAAATTAACTCAGAAAGCAAGAGCCAGAAGGTTCGAAAAATATAGTGAGCTTTAATATGATCAAATTCCTAAACGTGGCTCGTCTAGGTTCAAAATTAATTAAGTTGAAAATCATTGGGTTAGAGAAGCGGTGCTCAAACTCAATTTCTAAACTACTATGTTTTTTGGAGAGTTATCTCAATATTCAAATAGTCCGTCCTAGACTAAATGAACAGAAGAAATTTTTAAAGAATGTTTCTAGAGAAGTCCATAACAGAAAATTTTGATATCTAAAGTGCCAAGAAAAACTAAAATATGTTTGTTTTGTAGACAGTTGAGAGTTCAGTGCACATTCCTCGAGGTTTTGCAGTCTCGCATTTTTGCATAACAAGCTGATGGACTACATAGAACTACACAAAACCATTGAATGGAATACTAGGCCTTTTAAAATAAAAATATTGTTGATTTTAATTTAAATAAGAAGTGAGTGATGAAATGAACTGTCTATTGCCGACATGCGCTAGTTTTCAACTAGTTACTTGAACTTGGAGTTGGCAACGATAATGAGAACTACGGAAGGCGGATTCCTAAAATAAGCAAAACTGGCTTATCAACTAGTTTGTACAATATCGTTCCCAGCTTTTTAATTTTCTACGTTAATTTTAGGTAAAATAAGATCAAACGGATCATGAAATCACTTAAATAACTGGAAGTACAACCACTTGGAAATAAAGTAATTGGTCTTCACCGATTACTTCGAAACTCCCTCATACTTACTCAGATACATAAAGTTTCTAAATAACTACCGACTACTTCAGAACCCTCTCATATCTAACTAGCCATATAAAATTTTTGTATTTAGGGTACTTGAACACTTTTTTGTGGAGCACACCGAAGATATTTATGCTGAGATTTGGCTCACGAGTATTAACGCTTATCAACTAAGTTTCAATTCAGACTTACTGCAGTTTTGTTTATACATATAAATGTACGTCTGTTTATTTGAATTTTGATTAATAAACTATTCATTAGCTAAATATTTGGCTACGACGCGCCTGCCAGAATGACTAAATGATTTCGTTAGCAACAATTTTACGAGTATAACGAGTACATTAGAGAGTACGAGTATAACTGTGTGTGAATAATGAGTACTTTACTACATACATATCTATGTTGCATAATATTGTACAATGATATTATGCGTGCATATATTAGATTTTTATTGAAATGTTTAGTTTAGACAGATTTAACACTTAGCCTTCGTTTATTTTCGAAATTTTCGCGAGTTTGGTTAGATTATATTAATGTATTTTGTAGGTAATGCAATTACAAGTATATATAAGTATGTATGTACTAGTATGCGCATGATATGTGAAAACACTTCGCTTCAAATTGTTTATTATCCTTTTTGTACGTTTTATATACGAGCAATATACGTACTCCTGTGATGTTAGTCGCATGTTGTTGCCTTGGGAGCTGTAGAGTAGTACGATGGAGGGCTCAGTACACAAACAAATCAACTAAATATTCAACTAACTAACTAACAGACTGACTAACCAAACGCCCCCTAAATGGCGTGTAGAAAGAAGGGACCGAATTTCACTTTGTTTCGCTTTACTACAATCGTGATTGTGTAAAGAAATTATTCTTTAAGTAAATGTATGCGTGCGTACGTGCTGCAGCGTCGCTTTGTCAGTGTTTTTCCAGCAGTCAGCTGACGCTACAGAGCGCCACGCCGGTCTTAATCAATCACTCACCAATTATTTCTTGCTGTTCTTGTGGAGAAATGTGACTCTAAGCGTCTCGTTTGTAAGTCTAGACGCTCAGATTTGTATGGGCGTATGTGTGTGTGTGTGTTAAGCATATATGGTATGTACCTAAATTTGGGGTGTGTCTTCCAGTTGCGGTCGTGCTCCATTTGCCGGAGGGGAGCTAAATGCTCAGCGTAAATGCAAGCAGCCTCTTTCTTGCCGCGCGCTGTGTTTGCACTTCACCCATTCCTTATGTTCAACTATTTCATTATGCTTTATCTGTAGTGCTAAATCTAAGTTTTCCTACTTTTTTATAGCTGCACAGCAGGCATTTGCTACGAGCGAGTGCTATGGAAATTTTGATTTCTGCCAATCTACGAATTTTGCTAGAGTGTTTTAACGGTATTTGCTAATTCTTCTTACGTCAAAATTTTGCTAATATTCACTATCCAATTAAGCTATGGATATCCGAAATTTTTGAGTGTCCAATCAAATATTTTTTTGGTTCAATTTCGCACTCATCCGTTAGTGAGAATTTCTTATTTTCTGGGTAATACTGCCCGCGGTTGCTGTTTGGCTTGTTAGTTGATTGAGGTAACTTAACCTTAGGAGTCTAGTGATAGCGTATCTACGTCAAATTTGAAACTTACTTGTCGTTTGTGCTCGGATGGCAGTTTCGGATAGTCTAAATCTAGTTTCGAATATGGCGACATGTGTTGGTGATGATGGTATGGAGTGCTTGTATGGCTTAATGGGGCTGATGTTGTGGGATGATGATGGAGGTGGTGCAGATGCTGTTGGCTTAAGTGACTGAGGTGTTGCTGCTGCTGCTGTTGTTGTTGTTGCTGATGATGATGATGCTGATATGTGGGCGCTGTATGGAGGCTATCATACGCCGACGCAGCTGCAACGCCCGCCGCACCAGTCGCCACACCGCCAACGCCACCAACGCCACCGCTTGCACTTAGGCCAGCGCGCCCAGTCAGCCCCGCGTCGTCCAGCGCGCTGCTGGTAAGTGTTGCCGCGAATGGTCCACTCGTTTCGCGCAACGCCGCCAGTGGATGCGTTTGCATGTGATGCTGCTGCTGGTGCACGTGGTACTGATGCAACGGATTCAGCTGCTGCTGTACCGAGTGGTGGATGTGCGCCGACGGGTGCTGGGCGCCGGGCGGCAGCTGGTGTGTATAATGTTGTGTGCCCGCAAATTGCTGTTGCAAATTGTAGGCAAGCGGATGCGTATGTGGTGCCTGTGTGGCGTACTGATAGTACTGCGATATAGCCGGATTGGAGGCGTGCAACGATGGCATTAGATTGCGTTGATGCAACAACGTACTCATGCTATATGGCAAATCGGTCTGACTGAATATGGACTGAGAGAATGGATTTGCATAACTACTACTACCACCAATACCACTAACACCACCTGAAGTGTATTTGCTCGGATAGTTCAAGTAATTTAAATTTGACACTGAGTAGGCCGGCCGCAATAGCCTTCCACCCAAATGGCCACCGGTGGCCGCTTGTTGTGCCGCTACTGCTGCCGCCGCCGCTGCTGCTGATTGTTGGGCCGCTGCCGCTGTGGCCGCCGCCGACGTCGGTGCATACTGTTGGAAGTACATGTTCGGCTGGGAGGAGAAGCTCGACGACATCTGCATGAGGTTATCATTAAGGTATGGCGGCGACGTATCACCCGGGTGCAAGGTCGGATAGCTAGAGATTATGCGTCCGGGATAATGTGAGAGCGGTGTTACTGGTTGTGTGGCCTGTTGCATGCGCGCATGTTGGTTTAGTATCTGGGAGGAGCGTGAAATGGATTTGTGCGCCTCATTTAACAGGTTAACAATATTAGAAGAGGAGGATTGCTGCATTTGTGGCGCATAGAGACCGTAGTAGTCGTTCATCATCGAGGCCGATGGCAGGCCGGCGATACTGTAACGGCGTCGACGTATAGGTGATGGATGCTGGCCATAGAGGCCAGTACTGCTTACCGTCGGCTCGTACAGATAACCAGCAGCTGAAGAGGTGGGGCCAAACATGTCGTAGGTGCTCGGTGGTGGTGGCGGCGGACCAACACCGAGACCGTATCCGGTCGGCAGGTAATACTGACCGATTATGTCTGGTAGTGGCGGACTTCCAGTCGAGCCGTATGTGCCGTACATCTGAAATGGGCGATTTGAAAGAGTTTTTGCTTGGGTATTTTATTTGTTTCTCGTTTTTTTTTTTTTGTTAGGGTGTTTTATTGATTGGCTTGATTAGATGTTTGCTTATTTGCTTGTTTGAGAAATTCTTTACTTGGCTGTTTAGATTCATTTTGTTAGCTTTGGGATAGTAGAGTGTGTTTTTTCATGGCATTTTATTTTATTTACTGTTTCTTTTTCTGGTTTGATATGTCTGTATTAGTGCTAGATAAGTGTTGTCGACAGCAATATTTTATACTTTTGTTGTTGCTCTAAAGCGGGGTAGGCTTTCGGTTTCAGGCACTTGATCTAAGCACTTCGCGTTCTGTTTAACTTATTGGCGCGCAATATGAGAAATTTATATGTAGTCTATATAGTCTAAATATAAATATATATATGTATATATGATAGTTATTATAAATGTGTATTTATTAACTTTTTTCGCATATTCGAACATTCGAAAAAACACTTGCGCCAAACAAAATCATAACTACAATAACAATTTTCAATTACTTGCACACTAAATCAATAAAATATTTAACTGCATACTAATTAATTGTTCGGTACTGGTACTGGTACTGGTAATGGTATTGGTAATTGTACTGTATTTGTTCAATAATTTCGTAAATTGTACGATTTTTTTTATCTTTTTATGTTTCTACTGTTTTTCAGTTGCTCTATTCATCTTGTTCATCACCAAAATTTTAGATTTTAAGCGAACACTTACGGACTACTGGCCCCATTAACTTTCTTGTAATGCTTTCCATTTATATGTATTTGAAGTTTTCAATTTAGGTATATAATTAAAGGACAGCCTAAAAATTTTGCTCCTTTTTGCGTAAAATTAGTTGATATATATGCGTTCAAAATATATAAATCGATTTTTTTTCAATATAATTCGGCTGTTTGACAGCTCAGTCTTATTGTTGTTGCATTCAAAGTTATATTTCGTAAAAACTTTTGCTTTGGCTTTGTTGTAGCTATTTACATAATTGATTGTTTAATAGACGAAATTTCGCTATAATACGCGAGTTGCAGCTAAAATACAAACATTAACTTTAAGCAAGAAACTCATTTTAAATACTTCTTAATTTACAATAAATTTTTGTAATCATTTTGTTTTAATTTTCGCCTTAAATTTTAGTTATTTACACTTAAAGCATCGTTGTGGGGATCATTAAGGTTTAGAGGATTAATGTATTATACAAAATTAATTAGAATGAATTTAAGCTGTTTTTAATTTTATTTGGCAAGCTTCGCTCTGCTTCTGCTCTGCTCAGTGTGGCAGCTGTGGGTGGTGTAGATAAAACGAAACAAAAAATACTTTCATGATTTGATGCTTGGTGCATCTTCGAGTATTGTGTACAGCGTCAATAACGGTTTTTAAATTCAAATAATGCGGTTTTGTATCGAACACTGAACAGCTGAGGTGTTTTTGTACATATAAAGTGCCTCGCTAAAAAGATTGAGATTCAAGCCTAACGGCCGAACGTTGAGTGAGAGTGTGTGTGTGAATATGTGTGCGCGCGTGTAGATTGCTCCAATAAATGCACGATTGTGGCTGTATGTGTGGATGAGTTCGGTTAGCAGTGGTAATGCCTACTCTTAACACGCAACGGTTAATTGCAACGTTATTTGCTCCCACACTGCACAGTGTTGGGCGTTGAATTGGTGTATAATGTGTTTTGTTCGTGGGGAGAATCTTCAAGTTTAGATGTATATAGAATAAACGTGCAAAAATATGTGTTTTTATGGTACTTATGGCGATTGAATACAATAAATAAATACAATAACGTGGAAAAATTAAATTTGAAATTCAAAATATTCCAAAAGATAGCGTGGTTAGAAAGTGAGCAAATCGAGACAGAGACAGAGATAGAGTTAGAGGTGTTAACAATGACAGCGACAGTCTGCGACATAGACACAACAAAAAGGCGCGTTTGTAACAGACACAAGCAAATTTAAGTAAATATTTTTATACATATCGAAAATAAAAATATGAAAATATGTGAAGACAGATGAGTTTGGCTAAATGTATGAAATGCTTTGGTGGCTTATTAATTCCAAATGGCAGTGTATGAGTACTTGTGTTTGTGAGGGTGCGTAATTTTGTCTTTTTGCTTATTTTCAAGTGTTTATCAATTTTTTATAAACTTTTTTTTTCAATAAATAATACGAATATGCAAAAGCAAAATGTCAAAACTGTCAAGTTTGAATTTGTTTTTTAGTCACAGGGTTGCATTTGGGGGGGGTCCAACTGCATAATACTTTCTGTTATTTTTTTCAAGCTTAAACGATTCTTTAAGGAAGATTTTTGATAGAAGAGAGATAATGCTAAATAATTTTTGTCGCCAGCGTTGTATTTTGATATACATGTGACTAAGTAAGTGAAAAATTATCAAATTATCACTAAAATGGCTAAAATTGATATTAACCTTTTAATAAACCGCAGGGTTGTATTTTAACTGCGTAACAATTAGATAACATTTTAACAGTGGCGGAAGGTAACCTTTGCCAGGGTAAGCTCAGGTGTTGCGGGGACCAATATGGCATCCTGGCTGCATATTGTGAATTTGAAGTGTGAGTGGGTACTGTACGATTAGTGAGTAGTTATATGATTGACTGTATGTTTGTATCTCTAGCAGGCTGGCCTAGCGCTTTATCCTTAATAATACAACGGTAATGCGTTCGACTTATAACTTTTTGCATTGGACTTAGAGTTTTCGTAAAATCAACTAATACTGTTAACTGATTACTGAGTATTGCTTCAAAGTTTTCAAATATTTTTGTGTTTAACTTGCTTTTGAATTATTGAAATTTACAGTATACTTTTTTTTTTGTTTTTGATTAATTTCTTCGTTTGCTTTGTGCCAACAAGTCGTTAATTATGTAAATATATATAGTAATATATTTAAATATAAAAAGTCGTATATACAAAACCAAAAAGTAATATATGTATTTATAAGTAGATATTTATATATTCTTATATACTTTTAGTAACTTGAAAAACTGCAGTTCAAAAATGAAAGTGAAATTAGCTTGGAGTTTGGAAAATATTTTACAAGTATTCGGTATTTGTGTGAAATGTAATTTTCATTTGCCGACCGCTGGTAACGGCAAATGACAACTGGCTCAGCTCGCGTCGCATTTAACATCATCGATCAGCATTTCGTGGCCTCTTTTGGTCGTGTTAAACGACGTTTCCAATTACAATTTATTAATTATCGGAATATACTTAATGCAATAGAAATTTTGACGCATGTTTCGTTGATATTTTTTTTTAGGTACCAGCTATACATAAACTATACACGGGAATTGTCTATTCAAACATTGCGAAACGACGCATATGAATAGTGGTTTTCAAGTGTCAATTTCAATCAGCTAAATGGAAAATATATTAAATGTACATGTTGCAAGTGTGTCATAATGCTCGATTTCAATTTAGTTGCCTCTAAGAGTGAATTAAGATTTCAGTTAATTACTTCAAATAAAATTTTAATTACATTTACCTACACATTTAGGTTTATTTTTCAGTATAACTTAAGATTTGTGTTTAATAATTTTTTTGAATTTGTTTAATTATTTTTGCTGATTTCGCATATCACGTAAGAACAACAATAAAAGAATAATATGTAATCAATTATTTTATGAAAAAAAAAAACAGTGCTGGCACATTGAAAGTTACACCGTGCACATAGTGCCAATTAATTGGAGCCATTAACCATCGATAAGTTTTCGTGAAAAATCTATCTTTTGGCAATGAAATGACAAAAGAATTACTCATTTCGCACGAACTTTCGTTCGTTCGTGCTTAATTAACTCTTCGCTTCTTTTAATTTTACTACAAAAATCATCTTTCTTTCGTTATTTTATTTCAACTATGTAAGTGGTTCAAGTAGTGATTTGTTGTTGCTTTTTTAAGCTTTTTACCGTTCTAAGAGTTTGTTTGGTTGTCTTCGTGTCCTTATTTGTGTTGCCGTTGCTGTTAGTCCGCTCTCGCTGGTTGTTGTTTCTACCACTGTACGTGTATGTATGTAGGTATATGTAGCTGTTCGTTCAGTGTTCCGTTTTGCTATTTATAGCACAATATTACTTTTTGATTATGTAAATAGTAAGTAGAGTTTTGTAGAAATTCAAAATTATTGCAATAGTTCAAAAGGCACCAAGGCATTATATAGTAAAATCTGTTCAATCAAATACAAACATTACTTAAATTTAAAGCAAATGTGTGAAAATATTAAAATAACGAAAACAAGCTTAATAACAGCATAGCGCATTAGAAATCGTATAAAGCAAAGCTAGTAAAGGTAAACTGAGTTCATGGCAACATTTTCTAAAACAAATCATGATTTGCACATATCACTTAATGCAACACTATTCTTTAATGAAAATATCTAGAATTTAACGAAAAAATACTAGGTTGTAATTTTAATGATATATTTTAATTTCAACTATTTTACTTAATTTTTAACCAAAACTAATGTCAATAAATAATGTCTTGTCTTTGTACTCTGGAAATGCTGTTGGAGTAGTGATGAAATCCCAGCACAAAAAAACTACCTGAGCTTTGGCTTTCTCAAAATACCAAAAACAAAAAAGGCAACGTTAACTTTGGTTGCACCATAGCAATAATATCCTTCACAAATAAAAAGTTTCCATGCGAGAACTTTTTGATAGTTCAGTTTGTATGGCTACATATACGATCAGTAGACCGATCTAGAAAGTTTTTTCAGGTATTATAGCATTGCCTTGGATAATAATGCGTGCCAAATTCCGTGAAGGTAATAAAAAAATAGTTCATACTACAAGAATTTGATTTTGATCGATCAGTTTATATGACAGCTATAGTGATCCAATCTGAAAAATTTCTTCGGATATTATAGCGTTGCACTGGAGAATAATTCATACCAAATTCCGAGAATATATTTTGTCAAAAAAAAAAAAATAAAAAATACAGACTGACATGGCTAAATAAACTCAGTCACGCTGATTATATATATATACATTTTATATAGTCTCTGACCTTCATGGCAAACTTAATATACCCATATAACAAACGTTTGGCAAAATTAGCCACAACTAAGAAAGTAGTGTATATATGAAATATTTCAACTATCGCGTGCTATTTAGTTTAAGAATTGCATCTTTGGATTTTGTTTCGATTCTTGAATGAATTGAATTAGGTTGTTTATGGAATGAGAAAAACTTTAACATTTGCCCTGTGTTTTTAACTAATTGAGGTATTTATTAATACTACTCCCTTGTAAAAAATTATTCGAAATATTGTCTATACTTTTTCCTTTTACGTGGAAATATAATTAAATATTATTTAAAATATGATGGGGTTTCTTCATTGAATTAAGTAAAAATCTAATTATATATATCATTAATCTGCAATGTGGTTAATATTTTTTGATTTTTCACGGGTTTTTAACACTATTGACTAATATTTCGTATTGCTGTCAGTTGTCTTGTATTGGATTGATTAAATTAAATTGCTGATTGTTGATTTTCTTTTGCACTCATTCCCTGTCAGAGTAATAGATAACAATAATCAAATAATTTCTGTGATAGGGAGTACCTTATTAATATCCATATGTTTCGTAGTTAGTCTTATGCATCTACGGCTGTCAGAAAATTTGACTTTTAGAAAAAGAGCATAAGTAGGAAGTATAAGTGTTAATGAAACACACTTTTAGTAACCAATAAGTGGTAACCAATGAGTGCTGCACGAGTCCTGCACAAGATAATTAACTAACTGTGACGAAAAAAATCCGTCTAGGCAATAGCTGCACAGACGATGAAACATGAATTGGGATTGTGTTTCACATTAATTACCGTGCCTCAGACCTTAAAATCTAAAATTCCTTTTTGTCTATATATCTAAAGATGGGACCTAAAATATTATTTTTGTATACAGATATATAATATAGTAAATTCAAATGAAAGGAACGCGAAAATCTCAGTTCTCTTATTATTCCCGTCTAATCATATGGCGCATAAATATTAACGATGGCGAACCGAAATGAGAAGGCACTTAATGCATTCGAGCGAACTTTTCTCCGCGGGGTCTTTGGAGCCGTCCGAAGAAGATGGAACCACAGACTGTATGAACTCTAAGGCGCATGGGTAAAGTTAAGCAAAAATCGAACGAGAGCGGTAGTTAGGCCATGTCGCTTTAGCATCAATTCAAGACCCATGTGTGGACCATTGTTACTACTACCTACTGCATAGCGACCTGTCTGAACTTGGGATGTACAACTGGCGATGTTTTGTGTTCTCGGCCCAGATTAACCCACGGTTGCAGTGCTAAGGGAGAATAATATGCACTGATGTTGCTTTGGTATTAAAACAAAACTTTAAATTGTGGATCTATTATCTTTTTAGTTTCGGTAGTCTGGAATATTTTAACTCGTTGGAATAAGTAGCGCTCTTACTAACTAATTTCTTTTCGAGCTTGGGCGGAGAAAACTATTTTTTTTAAAGCAAAAGCCGAAAATTGAATCGTCTTACAGACGCTTTCAACATCACGAATTAGTTAGGCTTCGAAATTAAATTTATTTTCGGACCTTTCAATATCATACTGAACTGTTTTGTTTAGTTTTTTTAGAGAGCATATATGTAAACATCTCTACAAATTGTACTGGCTCAATAATTCATAGAGTAAAATTGAAAACTTTTTCTTTAACTAAATCATTCAAAATGTCCCGATGTCCGACCAAATTAAGATCAACCCGTATTCTTTCCTGGAATTTACGGAAAACATTACGAAGTTTAAAACAATCAAGAGCTTAAAAATAATTACTCTAAAAAAAAATTGTTTTACTAAATATATTCAAGTAATTTAATTAAAGCACTCATTTCCAACACTTCTTGTCTCATTTACTTCGTTTTGGTTTCCCCTTGATTTTCTATAAATTATTTTCGATTTGCAAGAACGGAACTCTGAAATAATTCTTCTGTCATTTCTGATACATGTGTATATATTAGTTTGTATATTCAATAATTTATGCATATCTAGAATACAAGTTATAACTAAATTCTTCACACAAATTTGAAAATCAACACAATTTCAAGGGCATGCAAAGCAAGGTTAAAGCAAAACAACGACAAACACAGATGCATGAGTATGAGGACTCGATATAAATGAATGATTTGGAAAGGAAACTCTGATAACCTAAAAAATAAATCAAAACAAATGGACCCACGCACAATGAGATATCGGATGAAACGAAAAAAATTTAAAAACTAGAACGCTAATGGAGTGTAAATGTACGATGGTGAAGAGCGATTGGGGCGGTACTAACTACACGTAATGATTCCGCATGAGCAGATGTGAACTCGGTTCTAGATAACAAATGATAACTTAAATATCTCCCAATGTCGAAATGGCGTCAAGGTTGCCTTGTACACATACATACATATATATGCTCTGTTGTGGGTTAATTATTAAGTGTGCCTGTGGCGCCGTTCGAGCAACGATGTATATCAAGTGTATAGCAAACGAATAATTGAGCGTCGAATTAAGTAAGTGTCGAGACGCAAAAAGAGAATTGAACTGTCAAGACTTAAAACGATAGCAATCACGCATACAAATGTAGAACAGAATCCAGCGACACAAATCCATTTTGGCGACAAAGTCGTTGCTTGCGTAATTGCCAAGCCACTGACACAGCAACTCAGCAGCCGAGATGTCTGACACTCCGCTGGAAGGAGGTTAGGAGAAAATCAACGCGCTGTGGGTAACGCTTAGTAGACGCCAAGACGTCTACGGGCGGTAGGTAAGGGAGCTTCAAGCCGAAATACGGTACTGTCCGTCTGTATGCTCAGCAAGAGGCAAACAGCAAAGGCAGCGCGCGAACAAAGGGAGAGAGCGAAAAGAAAACTAAACAAAATGAGAGCAGTGAGTTTCGCATTGAAACCGCATTTTCCAACAACTCTTAAGCACAGCAGGTAAAATTTTGCCACAACATACTTGCTGATGCTTTTACCTAGGAGGTAGGTGGGTAGCTCTAGTGATGACTACGGTTATTTGTCCTCGGACAAGTTCTACTTTTCGGTGCTAACTTCTCTAATCAGGCACACCACCAAGCGCAACAACAATGTCACATACACCCGTATAGTTAAGCGACTCTCCCTCTTGCGGGGGTTGCGGTTCTCCACGGCAACGAAGACATAAATAGAAAGAAACTTTTTGGTTATCTTCTTGTGTAATTATTGTCTTCTTTTTGGGATTTTTGTGTCATTCTTGAATGATAACACAGCGGCGGAGAAACTAAAAGAAAACCTCGAGACAGTGACAGGGGCAATGGCGGTGGCACATAGTTATTGCTGAGGCGGCAAAGCTGCCAAAAACACAACTACATATATATACATATATATATATATATATACTTGTATATATATAAATATATAAATAAGTTTGTGTGTGCGTACGAGTCGTCGAAAACAATGAAAAAGTGCAGAAAGAATGGGCGAAAGTAGCTCAAGAAGAAGATGGTAGAGCTGCGGCCAGCCCAGGGCATTATTAGTTACAGTTATTGCTCGCTGAAGGTTGTAGATGTGTGACACATTGCGTGTGTGTGCGGCACTACAGAGGCAGAGTTAAAAATAAGCCGACAATTATTGCAATGTATTCTGCGTATCCACAGTTCTGAGTGCATGCGCCAAGGTTGAGCATGCGCTGCTCCACTCTTATGTAAATATAAACATATTTATTTGGATATACATACATATCTACACATGAGAGTGTGTGTTTTCGTGTAATTTTAAATGATTGATAATTATGTCGCCTTTGTCGGTGCATGTTCACTAACTCACTCGGTTTAACCATCACAGAATTTAATGAGTTTCGGCATTACTTGTATGTAATCAGTTTAGGACAATATAGAACGAAGACTAGGACCATTATATAGGCATCCAGAAAAGTGAACACCCGTTGCAAAATAATAGCACTGTATTCAAAATTGTATGGTATATAGCGTTAGACGGTACGTGTTCAATGAGCAGCAAACATCGGCATTTGTGGTTTGCTCCGGTCAGCCCCAAAAGTTAACCTCAATGTCATTTCTATATGGCTTTATTAGACGATACACCTAGTTTTACTACGAAAGATTCTAGCAAACACAGGGAAGTTGCGAGCTCTGAAATTCTTCCCATCTTCGATAGAATTACGGATAATCTAATAATAATAATCACTCCGTTGTTAAGCCAATAACTAGTAGTTTCTATTCTATGATCTTACTTGCGAGTTTCATGTAGTGGATCTACTAGATTCCGCCACTTCTCTGGTGGCTTCGCTACTGATGAGGGAATATTTTTCCTTAGCTTCAGATATTCGGACCACTGCAGCGTTTATCAAGCAGGGGCTGAAGCGAAGCCCAGAGGAAATATTGGTGGAGAAATCTTTTTCTTAAGTTTCAGCAGGGATGACTGCTATCAAGGTAGAAGAGTGGCGAAACTGTGTTTGAACTTGCTGACTGTATGCTTAGCACTAGTAAAGGAATGTTCAACTTAATCATTAATGTCATCAAGCTATTTCTGGATGCAAGTTACTAGAAACTGTACAGCTCCGCTATCCTATGCCTCTTGCTTCTAGGACTGGACGGCTGCGCTTGTCGTGAGTTTAATGAGTACTTGTGCGGCTGCGAGGAGAAATCTTTTGAACTACTTGCCCTCAGCAATATTCATTTTACTCCAAATGTAGGGATTTTAGCCGGATATTGCCCATTGGACATACATATGTACTCGTATATGCGGATCTAGACTTATGAATAATAACTTTGGGCGCCACCAGGAATGGTTGTTTAAAATGTTCAAGTGTGACTGTCGTGATTTGCGTCCCAGATACAAGTCCCGAGATTGAACTTTTTCTAAGATTTGTGAGTATTTTCGTTTAGAAAGTCATAAAAATTACACTTTTTGAAGAACGATTATCGATATAGAAAAGGGTTTACCCGTTAGCCACGTACATAGATTCCTTGGAAGTGAAATCATTAATTTTCATTAATATTTTTTGTTGTTAAATTTATACCATTAAAAAAAAGGCACTCATGTATGTACATAGGTATATATATATACTTGTATATGTATATATAGATTTATATTTATCTGCTCTACTATTGCTTAGGCTGTTTGCTGTAATTATTCAAAAACATAAGAAAGCACATATTCACTTATGTATATATACATATATACATATATCCTGCAGATGTTGCATGTGGGCATAAAAATAATGAATTAGCGTGTGTGTGACTGCGCGTAGTAGGAGCTCTTGCTCATAAATGGACGCGTAAGCAAATACATTGATCCACATACCAACACTACCAAACGAATGTGCATCCATGTAAGTATGTACACAGTGAGGCAAGAATGTCAGTGTAAAAATGCGAAAAGCTCGACTAAATACAGGCACAGAGACCTTATTACAGAAACAAGTGACGTTTATGAAGTGTACTAGCTTAGCATGTAATATTTTATGTTGCGAAATGTTTATGGTACATAAATACACATATATGCATGTATGGATGTGTGTGTGTACTTTCCGAACAAATGTAGTTAAAAAGTAAGACACAAGCAGTTGGTGGGCGCCGAGTGGCAGCTGCCCGCACCTGACGCCAGTGTTGGCTTGCTAACTGCTTGATTGGCTGTTTGACTCATGCTTGAAGGAATCAGCGCTTGCGTGTGTGTGTGTGTATGTGGACACAGAGAATTTGTACTTTATCTTGTGCGACTATGTCGTGCGCTTTGCTTTGCATACATAATGCTGTAAATATGGACGGTGGAGGGTATGAAATGTGTTTTCGCCAAATCTAAATATTTTTTTCACAACTCCTTCATTCTCTTTAGGATAGGGGGTCCCTTCTCAACAGTCTAATGAATAACCAAGAGACTTATTTTTATTGTCTATGGTAAATACATCAGCACATCTTATGTATGTATGCATGGTTGGACGTGTTATGTTTGTTTAAGTTCATGCTATGGTTATTCTTCTTATTGACTTGTCCCTTTTTTACACCCTAAACAGATTATATTAACTTGGCCACGATACAATATATATATATATAATAATAATGGATATAACACCCACAAGGAAACATCGGAGACCCTATAAAATGTATATATAAATGATCAGCATGACGAGCGGAGTCGATTTAGTCATGTCCGTAGGTCCGTCCGTCTGACTGTATATACGCGAACTAATCACTCAGAGAAATTTGGAATGGGTTATTATCCAAGCGGTGAAATCTCTGAAGAATTATTCAGATTGGACCACTATATTATACAGCAGCAATACAAACTACTTGTGAAGGGTATTAAAACTTCGGTGCAGCTGAAGTCAACATTTTTTTTAATACTAACTGCCTTGGTCACGTGCATATTTTTAGCATTCTTGCTTTATGGCAGGGGCTGGCGATAAATGTCGTCATTGCGTGCCGTCAACATTAGAGAGCGAACTTCAGACCCACTAAAATTACATATACTGTAAGGTGCAGAATAATTTTAAATCAAAGAATGCAGTTCTACATACATATCTTGTATACATTTTTAGGTTACAAAATTAATATAATGAGAAAAATTAACATCTCGGATTTTTACTTTTTCAGTATATCTACTCGTTTTATCAAGAAATTCGGACGAGCTAAGTGACCAATTTAAAAGTAGACGGCATTCAGTCAGGACGAGTTCTTTAACATAATATTTGTGAGGTTAGGTACAGTCCTTTATTAGAATTAAAAATCTGCTGCCACCTAGCAATCCAATACAGAATGTTGCGAGTGACCAAATACCACTTTAGACTAAGTGGGCTATAGACCTGTAAGTTCTTTCTGGATAAACAAATAGGCATATATATAAATCTCTATTTATTCGCCTCTAGTTATTGACGAGACACCATTCGAATAATTCTTACTACGAGCCTACGAACTTTCTGGATGTCAACACTTGAAGAGAACTTTTCAAGTCACACGAATATTTTTACCATGATCATCAAGAAAAGAAACACTGTTAATGAATATCAATATGAAATAAGTTTATTCAACACAACCCCCTAATAAATTGAATTCCAAGTTTTCATTCTAGAAACATCTCACTGTCTTAAAAACCCTTTTCTCTGCAATATTAAATTTGGCTTGCCCTTGTTTTGAGCGCTCCATCCACCGAGTTAACGTCGTCGGCTGTGGTTCGCAATAATACATTGTATACACATGTAAAAGCTTGCACCCATTCAAGTTGCCACCATACCTGGCGAAACAGTATCAGAGTACATGGTATAAAAAGACCACTCCTTCCAGAGACAAGAAAGACTATAAAAAGCGAAACAACAAATGAGGGGTAGGTAAGTGCAGGAGAAATTAGTAAAGCAAGCACACGTCGCTCGTTGATTGTTGCGAGTCGTGTGCGTACGGAATTTGCAAAGAATTTCGTGACAATCGTTTTTGTTGTTGTTGCATCATACTTTTTTGTAATTCATTAAACGACTGTAGATATGGTTTGCAAGGCTTCTTGTTCAAGGCTATGCGTGCTGGGTACACTTGTGGACTCTTTTCAGGAGTTCAAGTACATTTGGCTTTCAATGACATTGTCAGCAGGAAATGTGGAAAATAGAACACAGTAAAAATCTTATCTTTATGGTGGCTTAAAAAGCATCGTTTTAGTATTTTTAATTGTGCGATTTGAAACATTTTAGTTTTTATTTCGAATATTAGAGTCAATTGAACGTGAACGCAGTCATTCGTATTGATTCTGAAATTAGGTGTGAAAAGAACTTTGTAACAATATTAATCCTGATTCTATTTGTCCAAAGTAGCAAAATTACTGACCAACTAATCCAACAAAAATAGTTGAAGTTTTTTGAGAGACCAATTTATCTCAGAAGCATTGGACCATTTGCTGAAATATTTTTCAGCAATGTTTCTTGATCCTTAGATATAAGATAAAAGGATTATCACCCTATTATTAATCAGCAAATAGAACATTTAGTTAACTTCTCGTAAATACAATCACGCCAAAACGGACGCTGTTTTCAATTTACATAATAAATATCCCCAACAATGGCTTTCAATTTTATTCTACACATTGTACCTATAGCCATAGACATATGTATTTTGCGGCGAAGACTGCTATTAGATTTAGACAAGCTGAGAATATAATTACTTTCCTTACAAACTAGACCACTGGATCGTAGAACCTACCCCAGGCGATTGACACACCTTCGCCAAATCCAGCGAGGTGGCTTTGGTGGATTGATATTAACTGGCCTTATGGTAAGCTCAAAATACTTCGACGATCTATTACCGGGTGATCCACCTTTAGGATTTTATGGGTAACACAAAGTCAGATCCATCGTTAGGATCTACCATACGATCTAACGTAACCTATCCCCGCTTTTGATATTACATCAAGCTTTAGTTAACACATGTGTCCTAATAGAAGTATACTTGGCCTTCATTGAAAAGCGGTTAGCAGATAGAAAAACTTAGCTTAATGAACAGAAATGTAAGCTTGACACTTCCAGCTCCAGTAAACTAGCCCACTCGTGAGTTTGGGGGATAATGCTATTCCAGTTTTATTGCGTCCTATTAAATGAGTCTAACCTCGAATTCGTCATTTTCACATTCAATGTTAAAAAATAATACCCCGAAATGTTCTTAGGTTATTCTGGATGCCAATTGTTAATGACCTGCCTGAAAAGCTTGAAGAATGTGGCTGCCTTAGTAGCCAACTGCAGGTAAATCAGGCGACGTTAACTGTGAAATCGATCGCTATACTATTAGCTGTCATGCAAACTGAACGATCGGAATCAAGGCGTGTAAGAAGCAATTTCTTATTTGACAAGTTATCTTGAGGAAATTTGGTAGAAATTATTATCCAAGGCATCGCTACCATTCCCGAAGAAATGGTTCAGATCCAACAATTATAGCATATAGCTACCATTAAAACTGACCGATCAAAGTCTGAATAAAGATCCTCTTTTACCCTTATATGGTATAAAAATGCTCTTGTGAAGGTTATTATAGTGTCGGTGCAGCAAAAGCTAATGTACTTTTTAAAAATACCTATCAGAGGAAATTAATGAAAAAAGTGGAGACAATGGCTATTACTGGTAAAAGCGGAGTGGCAACCCCTCAACATAATTATAAGAATGAAACTCTTTCGCGTGGTATTACGCGATATCTATTTCTTTTATATATGAGCGTAATTATGTAATTAAAAAATAAAGTAGAACTCTGGTGAAACCGGCAGGCGTGAGTTAGTATTAAAGTGGTGTGTCGGCGAACTCATCATATAACTTTCAAACTAAAGCTTTTCTCTACGGGATTCGCGATGTAGTATGTATGTTGAATATATGTACACATTAGTATGTACATATGTATGCATAGATTTATGTAGTCGTTTGCAATTAGTAGTAAGTTATTTCTGACTTATACAGAAACAAGAAGTATAAACTCTGGAAAATATATGAAATATTATCAGTTACTGATTCTGGCATGTAGCGTGTAGCATGCAAATATTGTCGTTTCACTCATTATTGATTTATTGACGTTGTGTTTGCATGCTGTTTTGCTGTTTATCAATTGTTATAGTATACGAGTATGTTTGTATTAGTTTGGCTTTCGTTTGTGTGGTAGGTGTTGCTTAGTGGTATTGGTGTTGGCTTGCAGTTATTGTTATTGTAATAATATTAAATTTTAAAGCGTTATGCCTTTGGAAGTGCTTGCATTTGTGGTTGACTGACTGATTGATTGATTGACTCTTTGACTGTTTGATGCTTTTTATGCGGTGCGTGAGCAATTTGTTAGGTGAGCGATGGCAGATGATTTGCTTGCTTATTCAGCGCAAATTGCTGATGATTGCATATTGTTGTTTTTATTTTGTTGATTAAGTTGTTTAGATAACATATTATATAGACGCAGTCGCCGTTCGCGCTGCACACCTGCGACTGCGCTGCGTTCAATACTACCTTATAGTAGACGTAGGCATTGTCCATAAGTTAGCGTGCGGCGCGCGATGTGTGAGTGAAATGCCTTACAGCAGATTTGCCGCGTTTCCTTCGCACAGCGAAGAGTGTATCTCTGTAATAGGGGCTCAAATGCAGCCTGTTTCTCGCTGTGCGGTGTATAGGTGTTTTCGGCAGGTGAGCGCAAGGGTTTGACTTATCCTATTTTTAGCTTAAACGTTTTTTATAGCAATTTGTTTCTGGCGTTGCTTTCGGTATGGTAGGCTGACAGATATTGCTATTTAAATATATGTGTGTGTATGTGTGAGTCTATCGTTGTTGGCACGAATGCAGTGAAGTGGCAGTAAATGTGCTGCTTGAGTGGGCAGCAAGCCAATTTTGTAACACTTTTGGCTTTGTGAGCACTACTCCTTGCTTTGGTTGCCACTCTTGGCGCGCTTTCTAGCTGCTAGTGCTCGACCGACGCATTGCTTTACTGGTTTCCCTAAATATGAGTACAACTACTGGGAGTTGTGCGTTGCTTGGCACAACGTGGCGTATGAGTAACTTTTTGAACGGCGCAACAAATACTTCGTTGTGCGCTCAGTTTTAGTTTTTTTGTTTACTATGCGTTTGTTCGCCCTTTCTTTGCTATGTTTCTATATTCGGCTTGCTTTTGTTTGTTATTTAATACTCTTATTGTCTTGTTTCGCTGCGCATTTCTACGCTTGCTTTTTTTCTTTGTTTTTCTTTGCTCTTTTGTTGTTGTGTTGCTTTATTCAAGTATTGCTTTTGTTTTAGTGGATTCGGCGTAGTGCAGCTTTTCTGTGTTCAGCGTTATTTGATATCTTGGCGCTAATATTTTCCACTGTCCATAACTTTAAGTATGGACAGAACACACATTGTATATGACAAACGCTTATGCAAGTGCGTTAGCAAATGTGTCGATTTTTTGTTATTGTTCTTACTCCACTGCCCAGATTTGCAAAGTTAATAGCCCAATGGTTGAAATTACACGATTTTCCTAGTTTTTTCCTGCCACTGTCCTTATTCCCCCTGCCGCACTGCACTGCCGCTATGCCAGCTACGGTGCTTTGCCTATTGTTATTGTGCTGTTGTTGTTGTTGCTGTTTCTGTTCTTTATTTCTGCTGTTGCTGGTTCATTTGGATTTTGTCCCGATTTCGTTGTCGCCGTTATTGCCGTGTTATTGCTGCCACACTGTCCAAGTTAGTGCTTTTTGTTGTTGCAACTGTTAGGTCTGCTGTTGTTTTTGTATTTGCGTTTTCAGCCTCTTGGCTCGTTTGTCTCCCTTCGTTTGATTTCGCAGTGTTTTTGTTGCTTTTTGCTTCGCTTTTTTTTTTAAAATTATCGATTTTACGTTTGTTCGCATTTGCAGAAACAACAAAAGAAAACACTTTTCTCCTGCATTTCCTCTTCGATTTCAACACTGAGGCATAAATTTTGGAATTTTCTGGGACTTTTTTTAATTCCTACAAATGATTTTTCTTATTTTCTATTTCTATTCAACACTTATTTAAGCTTTTCGTTGCGTTCACGAGTTGGCTTCGCATGTGGTGAGAAGTAGCAGGTTTTTTGGGCGAAACACTACTATTTCTTTAATTTGCAAATGTGTGAAAAGGCACAGTAATTGAATGGTATGCCTTTCAAGGACTTGATTTTTCCCGCACACACACACACACAGACGCACGACCGTAACCGACAATTGTAAGCGAACTGGCGAATTCACTTCAAGCACGCAAATTGCAAAACGAACGAATTAATTGAAACGCGTCGAATTTTTTGGTGCTTTCGTGGCGACGCGCTAGAAATCCGCAATGTATTTAACGACTTGAGGCGCTGCGTTTGGCGTTTTCACTTTCGATTTGTGCCGTTTTGCGTACAGTGCGAACTCCACTCGTTCAAGGCTTTTCAGCAGCATTTAACGATTTGCCTACTTGCTTGACTCGCTTTGCTCGAATATAAATCGGCTGCTATGAAATTTCCCGTTTGCTTGATTCGCGTAACGGCGTTCTGTAACCGCGCGCGTGCTGTGCGCTCCTACAGTCAGTCACAGCGTTTGGCCGCCTGCCTGTCTGCTGGTAAGCGCTCTAAAACGGACTTTATTTTTAT